ATCTGTATAAATCTGTTGAAAGATAAAATTATAGTAAGCACTGTATACGCTACATAGGCCGGTGTAGCCAAAACGCCCATGGCCTAAATACACATTACTGTATAGGACTTATTGTTAGTTGTTTCCATTTACACATTACCTTCGCAAGACCAGGGCTGTAGATCGAGGGGCAAACTGTGAATATTCCGGTAATAAAATGAGGAAAACACTGAATTACATCGAAGATTCCCAACAAGAACATCAATTTGTATGAAACCATCTTGAGCATTTCGCCATCTTTCCAGATTGTCTAAACAACAAGAAAGTGAGCGAGGTGAAGGTAGAATTGTATTAAAGTTTGCTGAAATGAAGCTTACCCTCAGAATGACTGAGTATGCCCAAAGGCATGCGAAGGACAAAATCATCATAGCACATCCAACAATCACATCGCTTAGATAAGTCTTACCTGTAATTGCAAATGAAGTAAAATTTTTAAAGGGAACCAAAGATAGCAAACACACCATTTATTTCCATTTCCATGGATCTACGGAGCCAACTGCGGAATTATTGTCATCGAACTTAGGAAAAAACTTTTTTAGTATCCTGCACAAAGAAAAATTTTAAAACGCAAAATCTTCCGAATATTTTTTCAAGATAGTCGCAGAAGTTAAATCATGTTCCAAGTGAGTCAAAAAGGAAATTTTTTCGCTGGAGATTTTTCCATCGAAAAGAGATGTGTATCAGCATTTCTTCACGGCAAAAAGAGCAAATTTTGCAAGAAAGCCTTCAAAATTACTTCAACACACTAAAATACTTTCAGTACAAAGTGATAAGGGACTAAATAAATTTGAAATGTTCCAGCAAAAGGAAAAACTTGAAAATGAGGGCTTGGGGCTATTTGAAACTATTAACATGTTCATGATTAAATGCATTCATACGCTCGCGAATGTGATTTTTCTAAATGAAAGTAAGACTAAGACATTTAAGGACGAATGACAGTAGAAATAAACTTTAAGCATAGCAAGAGAGAAGAAAAGTGAAATCCCCAATCAAAACTTTATATTTTTTTTTCAAATTCTAGGACAGACACATGTGAAAAACTGTTATATACCTTGTCGTTACGAGCTATGACGAAGGCCAATTTTAAGCATTAATTAACACCCATAATTATTACTCGGAAACATCTGCTAGGAAGTCTAGGACTAGCAACAACACATAAGTTGTATTTCAAGCATTAAAAGAAGTGGACTATCACTCACAGTGGTTGAATCGGCCGCGTTTAAGTTGACTTAGGCACCCTTTATC